TTATATTAGTCTGTTAGGTTATTCTGCTACATTATTCTGTTACATTATATTAATTATATTCTATTTTATGTGTCTGGTGAGAACATTCTTTCTTATCTATTTTAATTAAAATTTGGACTTTTTTGCACTGGAAACTCATGGATCATTTTTCCCCTCTTGAATGGACCAGCAGTTCCAACTACCTTTTGCTATTGTTGCTATTAGGTACCCTCAAGACAACTAAGGGTCTTTGCAACACGATGAATAAAAATCAAAACATTTCCCTATCCTGCTCCATCCTCACAATCTCAGCTCTGCTCAAGCCCAATTTGGTAATCATTTTGTCAGTCCACGAATGGATGGTCTTCCTCTTTATAGCTTACCCTCTATTCTTCCAAACATATCTTTTCCTAGGCATTGGAACTTCCAACAAAATATTAAGTATATGTGAGATAACATTACACCATTCTTACCTCATAGAAGTACCTTGGTTGCATTTGGGGGGGTGGGGGCACCAAAGGATATTTGACCCTTCACCAGCAACACAATTTAAGAGCATCAGTTTTTGAAATTTACTGTTCAGCTCTCTTATTTCATCATTTCCTCTTTTTACTTTGACATCTAATTTGATCTTGTCTTCTTCTTTTTCTTTTAAATGTCTTTTCCCCTTTTTTATGTACAATGTCCTTGATGTCATCTCCCAAATACTCTGGAGTTTGGGTTGATGTTGTTGTTTTGGTATTCTTTGCCTTCACGCAGGATCCACCTGGCCTCAGCAATGATATCCCTGGTGCTAAATAACCTCTTTTAAATCCAACTTGAATGTCTGGCATTTCTAGCCATTTTGAAATTTCATTTCACAGATTTTGAGCGTGTTTTTAGAAGAGGTCTGTCCTTGGAAAAGGACATCATACTTGGAAAGTAGGTATACAGCAAAGGAGGGGAATATCTTTAATGAGATGGATTGACACAGTGACTGTACAAATGGGCTCCAGTGTACCAGAGATGGTTAGGCTGGCATAGGACAGGGCAGGGTTCAGATCCATTGCTCATGCGGTGGCTATGAACCATAGCTCTCTAAGGCATTTAACAACTATCATCTGCAGCTGGAGATAGTTTTATGTCTCCTTGTCTGTGTGACTTTCTGTACTATAGTCCCATTAAGCATTATATAATGCCCTTCTTTGTCTCTTAAGCTGATCTTTCTTTTCAGTATCATTATAACAGAGATTAATATTGTTACTCCTGCTGTTTTTAAAGTTTTTATTTGCTTGATATACTTTTCCACTCTTTGATTTTTAGTCTATCTTTATCCTCATGTCTCAAGTGTGTCTCTTGTAGATAGCATATTGATGACTCTTGATTTTTTTAATTCATTCTTGCATTCCTTTTACTCTCCTGATACAGTTCCTCTATTCATCACCAGTGTTATTTTTGATAGGCATATACTTATTATTTTTATGGGTTTTGGGGGGGCATTGCTGGTTAAATTGCATCATTTACTTTTTGGGGCTGTCTCCATGGAAATCTCCCTTTAGTAATTCTTGTGGGTTTTTGGTTTTTTTTAGTAATTCTTATACTGTTGGTCTTGTTTTCTTTCACAAATTCCCTTAATTTTGCTTTTCTGTGAATGTTATTTTACTTTCTTATTTGACAAACAGTCTTGCTGGTTACGGGATTCTTGGTTGGTAATTGGTTTATTGGGGTTGGGACATTTTGGGGGTTTTTTAGAGTTTTGTATACATTATTCCATTGCCTTCTTGCCTGCTTGATTTCTGCTGGGAAACCAAAGTTTAGTCTTACTGATTCTCTTTTGTAGGTAACTGTTTATTTCAAATCATATTCTTCACATGAATCTGGTTTTGGAGAATCTCATTATATGTCTTGGGCTCTATATATTCCTACCTGGGCTCTATCCTGCTTGGCCTCTTGAATGTATATTTTCCCATTCTTCATAATACCCGGGAAATTTACTTTCAATAAATCTTCAACATTGTGTTGATGTTTTTTGCGGGGGTTATTATTATCTTCCTGTTCCAGAATTCCAATCACAAGTAGGTTATTTCTCTTGATGGTGTCCCACATAATTCCTATACTTTTTTGTTTTCTTTCCTTTCTTATTTCTGAGTTTCACCCCAGCATTCCAGTGTTGAGAATTTTTTGCTGCCTCACAGAGTCTGTTTTTCATTTCTTAGATTTTGCTCTTTGTTCTTCCAGCAGCGTGTTACTAGTTCTGAAATTTTGGTCTTGCCCTTCTGGATTTCAAGTTCATGTTGTTCTAAGGCTCCTAATTGTCCATTAGCTTTATCTATTTAATCTTGTAGTGATTTAATTTCTCTAAAGTTTTCTCTATGTTTTTCTTGATTTTATCTGTGGTTTCCCCCAGTTTTTCAGACTTTTACTCATTCTTCCTGTGAAGGCACTTCACTAGAATTCTGAATTCCTCTTCAGGAAGTCCCAATGGCCTTTCTGTCTCTGAAAGTTCTACTGATTCTGTAATTTTATCATTTTTTTGACATTTTGTTCTGTTTTTTGGTGGGGTGTGAGGTTATCTATTGCCTCTGGGACCTGGGGATGGTGCTTTATTTTATGTCTTTCCTCTCCTTTCTTGTGCTGGGTATGTGATACCAGATGAGGTGCCTATATCATCATCAGTCTCTTCTTTGTATAATGCAGTTGGTCGTTGGGGCAGGGGTGAACTGTGATGATTTTCATCTAAGTCATGAACACTGAAAGTCAGCATGTGCCGAGGACCACAGCAGGGAAGTGAGGTAAAGAGGTAGATGTGCTGCCTGACAGGTCACAGAGGTGTGGAGCCAAGTGAATCGGTGGTTGCTGGAGACTGACTTACGGTGTCTATATGGAGCTGGCTGGCTGGAGGGTAGCCCTGAGCTAAACAGGGCCAGCAGTGGTTGTGACAGAGGGCCTTGCAAACTGATGCTTTTCCCAGGCACCATACAGCAAAGTCAGTCAATAGCTTCTGGGCACTCTGACCCACAGCTGGACAGTGGATGAGTGTGCTGTGAGGCTCCGAAAAACCAACTCATAGCTCACCTTTCAACAGGTTTTTGAGAACCTGTAAATCATACAGGAAGAAGTTGCTCATTTTCCACTCAAGAAGTAGCTAGTGGATTCTGTCAGAGGGGTATCACATTTGGTTTACCAGCACAAGTTCCTATACACTATGTTACCAGAGTTTAAGATGGTAAAATTGAGGACTCACCATTAACATTCTTCTAAAAACCCACCAGAAGGTCAGCCATGGGTGGGTTCCGAATCTACAGTACACAACAACAAAAAAGAAATGTCACCTATGAGTGGAGTTCTACTGTGCTGCTAACCAAAAGGCGAAAAATCATAAGATATATTGTTGTTGTTATGTACTTTCTAGTCACCTGTGACCCTATGTACAACAGCTCTGAAGCCTGTCCTGTCCTGAGCCAGTCTCACTGACTGACTCCAACACACCCATCCCCATTGCCTCAGTTACTGTATCAGTCCATCTCATCCAGGGTCTTCCTCTCCTGCTCTGTCCCTCCACCCTTTTGAGCATAATGTCCTTCTCCAAGGACCAGTCCCTCCTCACCACACATCCAAAGTGAGATGGAGCTTCAGAAGTCTTAACCTCCAAGGAGAATCTTGGTTTCACCCTCTCCAAGGCATGTTTTCTTGGCAATCCATGGTATGTTCAAGACTCTTCTCCACCACTACAACTCAAAGGTATTGATTCTCATTCAGTCATCCTTAAACATTGTCCAGCTCTCTGATGTGTGTGTGTGTGTGTGTGTGTGTGTGTATAAATATACTTTGAAATAGAGAGAGAATAGATAAAATGTAAGTATGTATATCAGATGTAAACTATGGAAAGATTACAGTATTTCCTTAAAAAGAACTGTGCGTTCCACATAGATGCCTTTGTGCCTTTGTCTTACATGACAAAACAGAAGTGATGCTGTGGAGAGACTGGAGGAATATAAATGGTATACCCACTATGGAAAGCAGATTGACACAATTATTACAATTGTAAATGGTAACACTCTTTATCCAGAAATACATTACTACTATGTTTGTGTATACAGACATACACACAGAGACACATATATTCAAAGGTATTAAGAGCTTAAAAATAAACAGATATATGCACGTCCATGTTTACTACAATGCTATTTACAATAGCAAAGAGACAAAAACAAACTTTGTGTCTATTAACAGATAATTTGATAAAGAAACTATAGTAAAGTCACATAATTAAATACTGTGCAACAATGAAAAAACAATAAAGAATGTTTAAAATGCTGTATAACAAGGATGCATCTGGAGGACATTATACTGAATGAATTAAATAAGTCATAACGAGACAAATAATTGTATAAAATCATCATTATAAAAATCTAAAGAAACCTCTACATGCAAATAGAATCATTCCTGGAAGTTTACCATAGATAAGAAGGAGGAAAAGGGAGTAAAAAATTTCTAAATAACAAATACTTGTTAAGCTGGGTGAAGGGTAAGATGGTTTATAACAAGTGAATGATCAGACATTGTGAGTATTGCAATTCATTTTATAAGACAAAATAATACATGAATGAATGGCAAACCAATATGCTTAATAAACTCAATCATTTATAAAATTGTGTAGGCACATGCAAGCAAAATATCAAAATAGAACACATCACCAGACCCTCCATAGCAGTTAGGTAGCTGTACACAGTGCATTCCACACCATTGCCTGACTCCCAAAAGAGTCCCACATACCTATTACTCTAATCTATCAAATCAGAACAGACTCAGTTGATCCTTTAGCGGGTTTTCTGAGATTGCAAATCACAAGGAGGAGATTCCCCATTTTTCTACCACAGAACAGCTGGTGGATTGTACCTACCAGAGAGGCATGACTTCAGGCTAGCAGTGCATCTCTTTAAAGATTACTCTGCCAGATGGAATACTAACCATAATGCATATCATGATGTTGTTGTTGTTGTTAAGTGCCATTGAGTCACAGGTGACTCACAGCGACCCTATGAACAAAAGTCCTCAGCATTTGGGTGACTTTCATCCTTTCTGCAGGTTCATAGGGTTTCTGGAGGCAAGCTATTACAGAAGCAGATGCCACTCCTGCTTCTAAGCTTGATATCTACAATATTTTTATATGACTAAACCATTATGTTTTCCAGTTCCATACAATGAGTACTTCTAATTTTTTATTTTATTTCATTAATTTTAATGAACATTTACAGCTATTTTTCATTTCCACTCATTCATTGTTGCACTTTTCTCCCTGCCTACCCCTCTCCCCCAGTTTGCTCCTCTCTTTGAAAAGTAAAAGGAAAATTCTTTCATTGATATACAATCCCCCCCTGCACTGTACCGCCCCCTGCCCTGAGTACACTCCACAATGCAACCTTAATTCTGGACTCTTGTGAGAACCATAGTACCCTATCATATATCACTTTTAAATTGTTCTCTCCCTCATCTGTTTCAATGCAGTATACATAATTTATCCAGTTTTTCTCAGTCTTACCCAAACCCTGATGTCAGTCCCATTCTACAACAGTGGCACCATGCAATACTTGTCCTTTTGTGACTGAGATATTTCACTCAGCATAATGTCCTCCAGGGTCACCCATTTTGAATAACAGTGCATTAGTTCCTTGGAGTACTTCTAGTATTTTTGATGACACAATTATTACAAGTAGATTTTTCTAGTAAAGAGACTCTGCAGGGCCCTCTTGATGTCCCTGTTCCTCAGGCTGTAGATGAAGGGGTTCAGCATGGGGGTGACCACAGTGTACATCACTGAGGCCACTGCTCCTGTCCTGAGAGAAGGAGAGAGAACTGAACTGAGATATACTCCAACCCCTGTTCCATAGAACAAGCAAACAACTGACAGGTGGGAGCCACAGGTAGAAAAAGCTTTGTATTTTCCACCTGAAGAGGAAACTTTCAAAACAGAGGAAACAATTCGTACATAAGAGAGAACGATCAAAGAGACTGGAACACCACCAAAGATAAAACCTATAATATATACCAATATGACACTGGTGGAGGTGACAGAACAGGCAAGGTTAAGGAGTAGTGGAGGGTCACAGAAAAAACTAGGGATTTCCACCTCCATGCAGAAGGTAAGCTGGGACACCATCAGGCACTGTAGCTGGGATTCCAAAAGGCTGCTGAAGAAAGCTATCAAAACCAGTAGACCACAGAAGAATGGATTCATAATCGTTGGGTAGTGCAGCGGGTGACAAATAGCCACGTATCTGTCATAGGCCATCATAGTGAGGAGAAGACTGTCCATACATCCAAATAAGTTAAACAGAGACAACTGAGTCAGGCAGTTGACGTAGGAGATGGCCTTGCTGTGTGTGTGAATGTCATTTAGCATCTTGGGAGTGATGGTAGACGTGAAAGCAACATCAGCTATGGACAGGTTGCACAGGAAAAAATACATGGGGGTATGCAGGTTGCTGTCACAGCTGATGGCTAGGATAATGAACAGGTTTCCAAGTACTGTGACCAGGTACATGAACAAGAACATTCCAAAGAGAGGGTACTCCATTTCTGGCTCATCTGAGAGGCCGAGAAGGAGGAATACAGAGACATTCGATATGTTCCGTGGTTCCATGTAGCAGAGACACCTTTATGAGAAGAAAAGAAGGGCCCAGAGAATGCAATAAATGATGATCATTTTCTATGCACGTCTACTTTTTGCACTAAAGAATGTTCTAACAGCAAAGGCATTCACTGCTTTTATTAGGTGCCAGTGAGACTGCTCTAATTCACAGCAAAAGCAAATGCTGCCCATTCCTGAGTTGTCCTCACAATCTCTGCTGCCCTAAGTATTATTGTTACAGCCTCTGTTAGAGAGATCTCTAAATAGATCTTCCCCTGTGTCGCTGACCCTCTGCTTTCCCAACCATAATGTCTTTTTTCCAGGGGCTCACCAATCTTGATAACATACCCACAGCTTCACCGTCCTCATATCTACAGCTTTGCAGGCACACTGTTCCAAGACAGATCTGTTTTCCTTTTCGCAGGCTATGATATGCTCAATATACTCTGTCAACAACACAGTTCTAAGGCATCAATTCTTCTTCCCTCTTCCTTGATTGTCTAACCAACGTTCACATGCATACTTGATAATTAAAAAATACCATAACTTGCACTCGCTTCGGCAGCACATATACTAAAATTGGAACGATACAGAGAAGATCAGCAAAAATACCATAACTTGAGGTCATGTACATTTTAGTCTTTAAAGTGAGTTCTTTGCTTCTTAGCACTTTTCAGAGGTCCATGGCAATAGATTTGCCCTTTGCAATGCATTGTTTTGTTTGCTGACTGCTGCTTCCAAAGGTGTTAGCTGTAGATTTTTTAAAATGAAACTCTTTTTTATTATTATTATTAATTGTGTGTGTGTGTGTGTGTGTGTGTGTGTGTGTGTGTGTGTGTACCATCAAATCAGATCTGACTGGTACAGGAGGAGATTGTCCCTCCTTACCCTGCAGAGCATCTGGTGGATTTGAACCATGCGCCTCTGGGATTGTAGTTGCAGCTCCTTGCCACTAGGCCACCAGAGCTCCCCTAAAATGAAACTCTTGACAACTTCAATCATTTGCATTATCATGAGCATGCCTCATTTATATAGCCTTACTTACAAACAGATTGCATTTTTTAAAAAACTTCAAACTAAAATTCACACAATGGGCCAATAAATATCTTGATTAAGAGGAAATTTTGAAGTTGCCAAGGACTTCATCTTACTTAGATCCACAATCAACACCCATGGAAGTGGTATTCAAGAATTCAAATTATTTCACTGGGAAAACCTATTACCAAAGATATCTTTAAAATCCCAAAGAGTAAGGATTTCATTTTAAACAATAAAATGCACATGACTAAAGTGATGCTTAGAGAGGGAAATCATGCTTTGAAAGGTGGACAGTAAGTGAAAGAGAGGAAGACTCACAACGAGATGGATTGACACTGTGACTGCAACAAGGGGTCAAGGGTGTCTGTGATGAAGAGGATGGCACATGATAGGACAGGGTTCAGATCTGTTGTTCATAGGGTCACTTCGGGTTGTACTTGACTTGATGCCACCTAACAACAATGTTTCTTTTTTTTTCATTTTATTTTCTTAATTTTAATGAACATTTACAGAGATTTTGGATTTCCATTCATTCATTGTTGCACTTTTTTCTCTACCCTTCCTCTCCCCTAGTTCACGCCTCTCTTTGAAAAGCAGAAGATAAACTTCTTCATTGGTATTCAATGCCCCCGACCCCGACCCTGCTCCCGCCAATCCCAAATGCACTCCACTATGCAACCTTGAAGTGAGAAAGTAAGGAAGAAGGAAGGAGAAAGTACGTCTTTGAATTGTGATACTTGTTAATATCATCATATTTACCACGGACTGTTGGGGGAAATGCAGGATCAGTTAGGAAGAAGATTCTCATGGATTTATACAATGGCAACGACAATGGGTTTAATACACAAGAGCTTGTGACGATGGGGCAGCGTTGGCTATCGTTTCATTCTATGATGCATAGAGTGGCTATGATTCAGAATGACTTGATAGCACTGGCCAACAGCAATATGTGAATGCTGACCAGTGATTAACGAAGAGAAGAAATGTGAGCAATGTACATAGATTCACTGAAAGCGCTGGAAGCACTGAACACCAATGGTCAAAGACTAGACTAGTCATGGAGTGATATCAAGGATATCGTCCACGAAGAGAGCAAAAGGTCATTACAAAGACAGAGGAAAAAGGAAAAAAACCTAAATGGGTGTTGCAAGAGACACTAAAAATTGCTGTACAGCATCAAGAATCCAAACAAATGGAAAACATGAAGTTGAAGTAAAAGAACTGAACAGAGTATTTCAACAGGCAGCTAGAGGAGACAAAGTATTATAATGGAATGTGCAGAGAACTTCCATTGGAGAGTAAAAGGGGAAGAATTCCCTCTGCCTCTCTTGAGGTAAGAGAACTGAAAAACCCATTTAAGCCTCAAGTCACATTATTGAAAAATGCTATAAGCAATATATTGAATGACCCAGGAAGCATCCAAAGATGATGGAGGGAATATACAGAATCACTGTACCAAAAAGAACTTACTGACACTGGAAAAAAATTCAGGAAGTACCAAATTCCTCCTTGGAAGCTAGGATTTTGAAGCTCCGTCTCACATGCTTTGGACATGTGGCCAGGAAAGACCAGTCCTTACAAAAAGGACATCATGCTCAGAAGGGTGGAGGGACAGCACAGGAGAGGAAGACCTTGGATGAGAGGGATTGATACAGTAACTGGGGCAATGGGGATAGGTGTGTCAGAATCAGTGAGACTGGCTCAGGACAGGACAGGCTTCAAAGCTGCTGTACATAGGGTCACACTCGATGGCACATAACAACCATATGAGCAGGTAATGAAAGAGGAGGTAGAAGCTGCATTGAAGGCACTCGCAAAAAATAAGGCCCCAAGAATCGATGAGATACCAATTGACTTGATTCAATTAACAGATTCAGTCCTGGATGAGCTCGCTAGTCTATGCCAGGAAATTTGAAAGATCGCTGCCTGGCCAACAGATTGGAAGAAGTCCATGTTTGTTCCCATTCTCAAGAAAAGTGATCCAATAGAATGTGGAAATAATCAAACAATATCATTACTATCACATGCGAGCAAAATACTACTGAAGATCATTCAAAAACTGCTAGGACAGTACATAGAAAGGTAACTGCCAGAAGTCCAAGCAGGATTTAAAGGAAGCTATGGCACCAGAGATGTCATTGCTGATATCAGATGGATCCTGACTGAAAGTAGAGAACACCAGAAGAATGTCTATGTGAGCTTATTGGACTGTGCAAATGCATTTGATTGTGAGGAGCTTAACAAGTTATGGCTAACATTGAGAAGAATGGGATTCTCAGAACATTTAATCATGCTCATACAAAATCTATATCTAGACCAAGAGGCTGTTGTGCATACAAAGCAAGGAAGCATAACATGGTTTAAAATCAGAAAGGGAATGCATCAGGTTTGTGTTTTCTCTCTGTACCTGTAAGCTGAACAAATTATTCAGGAAGCTAGACTCTATGAGGAAGAATGCGGCATTCTTCAGAAGACCTGATCATCAGTAACCTGAGTGATGCAGATGACACAACCTTGCTTGCTGAAGGTAAGGAGGACTTGAAGTACTTGTTGCTGAAGATCAAAGGATATAGCCTTCAACATGGATTGTATCTTAATGTCAAGAAAACAAAAATGTTTGCCACTGAACCAATAGTAAAAATCGTGATAGATAGAGAAAAGATTGAAAGTGTCAATAATTTTATCTTACTTGGATTCATAATTAACACGCTTGGTACCAGAAGTCAGAAAACTGGGAGGCATATAGCACTAGAATAGTCTGCAGTCAGGGATGTTGCAGACCAAGGATAAAGTATTTTTATAAGTATTAATAATGAGATAGAACACCAGGAAAGTAGGAAAAGAACAAAGATAAACCCAAGAGGCAAACTGTTCTCAAACAACTGAAGGGATCTGATGTAAGGATTCCAGGTTCCCCGTCTTTACTGAAAATTGCCAGGGAGTAAATCACAAAGAGAATTCAATGCAGGTGAAGCCAAGCTTTTTCTATTGAAAGCTTTCTGCTTGACTCAGGAGGGAAGTGTTAGCAAATACAATGCAAGAATCCTGTAAACGCTTAAGGATTGCCTTAGTGCTCCAGGATTAATTCCAGCTGGTACCAGCCTCCCTCATAACCTGAAGTAGCATTCTGTTTATTACAAATGTTTAGTATGAAATTTGGCTTCCCAGAAGGGACCTTCCCAAATTATTGGGGAGCAACGGTGTCTGTTTGAGGACTAATGTGTGTCTGAGTCAGATCTTTCTGATCACTTGCTATGTATCTGAGGGCTAGACAATGAATAAGGATGACAGAAGTAGAATTGATGTCTTTTAGCTGTGGTGTTAAAGAACACTGAACATCCCATGGACTGCCAAAAGGACAAAAACAAGGATGTCTTGGAGAAAATGCAGCCAGAGTGCTCCTTGAAAGCAAAGATAATAAAGCTCCATCTCACATACTTTGAGCATGTTGCTAGCAGAGGCTATTCCTTGGAGAGGGACATCATGCTCGGAAAGGCAGAGCATTGATCACAGAGAGGAAGACTCTCAACCAGGTGGATTGATACAGTGACTGCTGCAGTGGCCTCTAGTGTGTCAGAAAGTGTGTGGATGGGTTCAGATCTGTTGTTCACACGGCTGCTATCGGTCATACTCAACTTGGCAGCACCTAACAACAACTCAACCTGTATGCTGAGCCAATTCTTGGAGGAGCTGGACTCTGTGAAGAAAAAAGTGGCATCATGAGGAAAACTCCTCAATAACCTATGCTATCAGATGACACAATCTTGCTTACTGAAAGGGAGGAGGGCTTGAAGCACCTGTTGCAGAAAATCAGAGACTGCAGCCTTCAATATGAATTGCATCTCAACATCAAGAAAACAAAGATTCTCACCACTGGACCAAGAGGCAGCATCATCATAGATGAAAAAATGACTGAAACTGTCAATGACTTCATCTTACTTGGATCCACAATCAATACATTTGGTAGCAGCAAATCTGGAGATGTATTGCAGAGTCAA